GAACGAGCACCTACATGTCATTAGTTTTACTACATACTCGCACTACCTGCTTGCCTCTCCATGCCATGCCCTGGCCCGACCCAATCAAGCCAGGCTTGGGTACGGGTGTGGGTGTAGTTTAGACCAAGCTTTATCTTTTTGAAGAAAATTTGTTTGATGAATTAGTCGTAAATTTCTTAACCCGGAATTTAATTTCTGATATCTGTTGGATTTAAAATTTGCACTGATTCGAATTTTCGTTTCCCTCCAATTCTGAATTTTTGAGTAATGTATGTTCACAAATTAATAGTTTAATGTTGTCTCCTGGCTGCAAGTGTCTTTTAGGTAGCATCCATTCACATGGTGATTGTCTGGATCAATCACCATTCTCTCTATTAATAACCCAGATTCACTCCATTTTGAAAAAATGAATTTCATAGACATTAAAACAGTCTCATACATCATATTTCGGTATTACCAATCTGCATTCTGAGAGTACACAACACAGTTTCGGTTCATTGGGTGATTAGATTGGAATGCTACTTCTAATCGCGTGAAGATCATTGTATCCTAGGAGGTGGATGCTTTGATTTCCATAAGCAAAAAAAGTGGGAGTGAAGTCTATTTTAAGGACATACTGTTAAATACTAGCCTTAATATGTAGAAAGTTTAATAACAATTCTTGATCTACAAATAAGTCAGTTTATATATTTGTTTAATTATAGATCTATGATAACTGTTTTGTTCATAGTTGTAACTGTTTCGTTCAGACTTGTTCTTGATTGCTATTGTTTTATTATAAGTCGCATGATATAAATCAGATATTTCAGTAAGTGATTTTATTTTATTTGGGAACCACAAACAACAAAATATAGTAAAAATGATGTAGCTATGTAATAAGGGAAGAAGAAAGACAAACAAGATTTATGGAGGTTCGACCAAAATCACCATGACCTATGTCCTCTCTTGAACCTTTTCCTTGGAGCTCCCTTTTCACTATCTTGATCTTCTTCAATAGGAGAAAATCAAAAACTTACAATCACTATCCTCTTCAGTAAATGAAGGCTCACCTTAGAAGTTTAAATTCTCACAATACAATAATCTTCTCATCTCTTAACAAATAATAATCACTCAACAAGATTACATAAAGAGAGAAGAATACAATGAGTTCTAGAGCAAAAATTTTACAATATTTAGCATTTTGCAATGTGTATAACAATTTTGCAAAGTTCAATTTTATGTCTTATCCAATTTTCATTGCATTTTATAGTTGAAGCCCTTTAAGTATGAAAATTGAATAAAACTAGTTGTTTGGAACCTTTAACATTAATGTTATTTTGCTCCCCTTGACAAGCTGTCTGAATTTATGCATTTACCCCCAATTTGTAAGCCCTTTTTGACCATGAAGCCATTCGAATTTGAACAATCATATATTTCTAACAAAATTGGAAATAATTTTGTCTAATTTCCAAATCATCAAGAATAAAGTCATTTGGACATTGTAAAATGTTGTGACTGAAATACATTGAGACCCTATCAATTTTTTTTCCTGATTGACAGAATCTATGTACTACCCTCAATGTGCAAATTATTTTTTTCCAACAAACAATTTGTAACGCCCTAGTTTCCCAGACTCGTTACTTAATTAAATCGGTCGATCGCAATAAACCACAAATATCTCTGACTACAGAACCAGAGCTCTAATTGCTTCAATAAATTTATAATCACAATTTTTATCTCCAAATAGCAATAATCTACTCAATATAAGAACAAATCTGTTCAAATTATATATCACCCCAATAAACCCACAAAGTTATAAATCTGAAACTTTCTCATATCTTCACTTTGGTCATTCCCTCAGGAATTATATATCACCACAAATGCCGATAAAAGTTAAAAAATTTATATCAAGACTCGTCCATCTTTGATTCCTTAAATATCAACTTTGGTCCTTCCCTCCGAGATAATCCTGAAAAATATTAAAAGCGGGGAAGTATATAATATGACAGGAAACAATATGCTCAACGAGAAAAAGTATGAATGATCAAATACCAAATAATTCAATTGATAGACAATCAAAGATAGAAGAATTAAGAATCCAATTCGATAAGTCACATAAGCCAACTTCTATCAAGCATAGCCTCATACTTGGTTCCTCTTGGTGACATGACAAGTGATACTTGGGCATACAAATTCATACTCATACTAACTAATCACACACCCACAGGGATGTAATCACAATCACACCCTGCATGACCGTAATCATATTTTACCAATTTTGTCTCAAGTATACTTCGTACATGTACCAATCAATCCCAAAATATTTAGCCCAATGTACAGATTAGCCGATAAAATTGTCAAAATTTCGTATCAATCAAAATAATTAATAGGAATACAAATTTCAAATAATTAAATGACACTCTTTGCAAAAAGATTTAAAAGACAGGAGCATATTATATATTATCATGTACCTTAAAATCATTAATAACTTCAATAGATAAGAAATTCAAGCTACCCCGAACAAGACACTTCAATTTGGTAATGATCGAAAGTAAAATATACTAATAAAATTTTGACCCCAAAATCTCATAAGTTCTCTCTCTTTGTCCCTCTCTTTCTTCTCTCTCTCTCTCTCTCTCTCTCTCTTCCTTTCTTTTTCTCCTTTTTTTCTCCTTGATTTCGCTACTGATCATGGATAGGTATTTGTAGTGAGATTGAATTGGGCTCCAAGGCTTTTATGTCACCTTGTTGGTGTCATTTGGTGATGCATACATTGCATCACAAAGACACTTGTCAATTTTTTTTCCTAAATCCTAACATGACATTTGTCCATGAGATTTGTATATTAACATTTAAAACATTTAATTTTTAAAGTGTTATCCAACTTGAAACGCTACCTATAATATAGTTATTTGACTCATTTTCACACTAGAAATTTATATTTCAAGTCTATTTATTTATTTGAATTTTTTTTAAAAAAAACAACCCTCAATTATATCAAATCATAATTAACGACCTAATTATGAAGTTAGCACTTAATTTTTTTATTTACGGGTTATCACACAATTCAAATTTGAAAACTATTTTTTTTCAGTCAAAGTTGTCGTGCTAGATATGTTCTTTTCAAATATTCAAGAATCATGTTAATTAGATATTCGATGAAAAAGTTATGCCCAAATTACTGATACTAGAATTTTACCTCATTTGCTTTGTATCTTATACCCTTTGCATTAATCATTCCATTCTTCACATCAAGCAACATGGTTACCTTTATAAGTTGAAGAAACATCCTAGATGTATGTTCTTTAACCTTTAATTTTCTTCACATATCAAGATTAAACCAACAAGATTTTTGCATATGCTTTCCAAAACAAGAACTCAAGAAGTTCAGTGTACCAAGCTTTCCATCAAACATGTACAACACTTTAACTAACACAAAAATGATTAATTATAAGAGAGTGTTTGTTATCATCAAAATCTTGTATAACTAAGCACAAGGTCAACACTTTAGAGTTTGCTCTAATTTCTATGTGGATAAAGAGTTGTGTGTTTGATACATAAAGAAAATATGTTTTTTTTTTGTGTTCCCATTATCACTACGTTATAAAGCTTGCTATTTTGTTTTTCCATTTGGTATTCAAGTATTGTTTTTGTTAGTACAAAATACAAACAAGATAAAACTTTATTGTATTTTGAAGATAAATTTGTGAATTTCTAATTTGTACAACACCAAAATTTCGAAAGAAGATTTTTGAACATTGTGCTCCGACGAAATATAAAATTTGCATTCGCATAGGATAAAAGAACTATTTTTCCGTGGAAAAAGGAGTCCAACCCCAGAAAAGAAAACTTAAGATCATGTTATAGCCTTTAATACATAACAACTTTTATACCAAGTTTTCAAAGGAAAAGTCCAATAAATGGGGGAAAAAAAAAACCTCCGATAGCTCCACTTTGAAGATAGCCTACAATTAATAATTATGAGTATTGTAATGTTTACTAAAAAAACAATTTATCAAATCAACATTGATAGATGGCTTAGTAGAACCTATTAATTTTTTTTATAAGCCCCATAAATCCAACCTTCCATATAAATTTAGTGAACTTTTTGATAATATTTTTGATAAGTGCCTCCTTGCTTATTTGTTATTACTAACACTCGTCATAATCAATATGAAATTAGTGGTATCTATTTTGTCTTAATATGTTTAGAGAGTAAATGGATCAATTCACCAAAAATACTTAGTAAATAAGAATAATATTTCTAAGGACCTAATTTGAACACTTAATTAGGGACATAATTCATTGTATTCATTGGATTTGTTGTGAGTTCCACTGTTAGATAAAATTTACTCTGAATTCAACTTATATAGATCCTCAAATTAAGTCCAAATAATAGCATCCAAATTCTATACCATTACATGAGTAAGGTATATTGAGTAAATCAAGTAAAGATACAAATGAATAAGATATATTAAGTTTTGATAGTCAAGAACCTAACATTACACAATCCATGGTTAACACTAGTTGTGAAATCAAGTATAGCTTAAACCCAATTTGTATGACCCAAGTGCATCTCCAACCCTTACCCTTTTTGTTAAATTTAAATTTAAATTTAGATAAAATGCTCTTAAAAATTTTCTCCAATGCTACATCTAAACTCGTACCAAATCAAAGGAGACTAAATTCTTTACCCAAATTAAGGGAGAGTCAAACTTATACCCAAATCACCAATAGTTAGATTTTATTCTCCTTTAAAAATCTAATGGTAATATTCTGTCTTCTTTTAAATTAGAATTTTTTTTTTATTAAAGATCGAGTTTTTTATCTTTTTTTTTTTTCAATTTGAGAAAGGGTTTAATATGTTTGCTTGACCATTTGGAATTTGCGTTTGAAGCCTTGGGGATTGTCCATTTTATGAAGAAGAAAAATAAAATGAATGTCATTTGTAAATAGTCAATCCTTTGCATCATGTGTGGATGAGAATGGAAGCTGGTCTCCAATATACATTCTTGATTTAGCTTAGTTGAAAAATAAAGTTTTTCAGGTTTTTTACATCTCAAAATCTACTAATATGTGTTCGAGAGTCTCTTATTCCCTTCTATTGTTGGGGTGTTTGAATGGGCAGTGTGTTCTATCATGCGGGTTTATGGTCAAGTACACGGTTGAGACTGTCCAGTTTTAAAACTGTGTGTGTGTCTGAATCGAATGGTGTATTTGGAGGGCAAGTTTTAGAGCAAGTGGATAAGGAGCTAAGAAAGGGGGATGAGAGGGCAGCACTCTCCCTTGTCAAGGATTGGCAGGGCAGGCTTGGGGGTCTCCGATGTTTCGGTGCTGCTCGGCAGGTTCATGGCTTCACTTCTTTCTTCTTCTGTTCTTTCCCGTGTTCAGTCCTTTTTCCTTTTTTGTTATTTGAATGTAGGAACTGGGAATTATTGGTTTGCTTATGAAATGATAGGTTGTTTCGTGAAATGTTACTTCTTGTTTATAGTTGCAGCTCTTGAGAGAGTAAAAGTTTATTTTTTTATTTTTTGGCTCTATATTGTGAAAATAAAGTGAATCTCCTACTTCTAGCGTATACAGATTTCACTGAGCTTCCCCATCATTGGTATAATTTCTGTTTGGTTCCAGAGTACCGTTTAAGCAGCATCCCACCAAAGCAGTAGGTTGTGTCTCGAAAGTGTCGCAATTTAATCGACAATTTCTTAATTTTCAACATTTTGCCTTTGAAGGTTGGTTCTTGATTGATTGATACTAAATTGAAACACAAATGATCGGCAGGTTTGTGGTTTTGCTACTTTTGGCTAAATGTGGTCCAACTGTTGTTCTTCTTTGCATTCAAAAGCTGCAGATTCATGGCATTCAAATATAGTATCGGTTGAGTTGCCATTCATACATTTGTGTTGGTAACTTTGATGACCTCATAAGAGTTGTTATCTACACCCATAACCCAAGCAGGTAGATTTCTTGAAGGAAGCAAAGTTTTGGTTAGTATTGAATGGTAATTTGTTTCTGATTGGGAATAAACAAGAATGGTATCTGCTCCTGTTTGAATTGCCAAAAAAATAACATTGACATGCTTACACTTTCAACTCTGGCATTTGAACTTGCATTCACTTCCATACTGCAGATTTAAGCTGCATTTTCGTGTGTTCTGAACTAGGAAGCTTTCTGTATTTGATATTTTTATGAGCACTTTAAGTAGTTGTAATGGTCCTCCATTTTTCCCTTTGTGGATTGGTCTTAAAAGATACAAGATTCAACAGCTAATCGTGTAAATTTCAGGACAATCAACAATATTTAAGAATTGCTTATTCTGTGAGTAGATTCATTGCAGGTACCCCAGAGGCTATACACCTTGGATGAACTAAAACTGAATGGAATAGAAACGTCATCTCTTCTGTCACCAGTGGATGCCACATTGGGTTCTATAGAAAGAAATCTCCAGCTTGCTGCTATTATAGGAGGAATTTCTGCATGGAATGTGTTCGGATTTAGCCCTCAACAAGTCCTTTATTTTTCTTTGGGGTGGTTGTTCCTGTTGACACTGGATTCGGTAACTTGTTTCTCAAACTATACTGTTTGACGTGTTGTATTCTTAAAATATATTGCGATATGTGGACAACTGGTGAGATATCTTTGTTTTCGTGACATTTTTTTGAAATGGTGGAGTTATATTGTTTACGTTGTATATCTCTTTCCATAGTTGTAATTATTGGGTTGTTCTTCTTCTCTCTCTCTAGTTAAGTTCTTTTCTCTACCTTCTGTATGACTGCTGTACCACCCCCTCTAGTATTTTGTAAGAGTAATTCCATAGAAATAAGGATTACTACCGAAATGCAGCTGTTTCACTTACTTCCTAAAGAAGAAGTAAGATATTTAACTCCTCTACTCTTAAGGGCAACTACAGTTATTTTTATTCCAGGTTTTGGTACATTCGTGACGAAGGATTAAAGTTTTCTTTTGAAACAGGTGAAACGTTTTTGTTTTTAAGGAGATTAAAATGAATCAACGATGAAATTAAAATTTTATATTTCGAGATATTTCATAATGTTTTTAAATATTCCGTAATGTTTGAATTCATTTACACTATTTTTAAGGTGTTTTGGTATTGTTAGGCAAATGTTTTAAAAAAATAATTTTTAAATTCTTTATTTGTTTTTATCTTGTTCTCGAAACAAGTCGAAACATTTTCGAAAAAATGGGACGAAACGTTTCTGTTTTATAGGTGATCGAAACAACGTATTCAAACGAAATTTTGATCCTTATTTGTGATTATCGGTTAGTGTACAATAGTGCTGCACGTGGGTCATTTTAGGTATAAAATATTATATGAAGGCTGCCAATGGCGGATCCACGGGCAGTGGGGGCAGTTGGTCCCACTAGAATTTTAAATATTTTTGAGGAGCGAGTATAATTTCAAATTTTTAGAATTTATTAGATATTTGTCTCTGTCGAAAAGATTCTAGAATAGTTATGTATTTTGACAACCATTTGGGTTTGATTCATAAATTACAAAAAAGTGCTTTAAAAAGGCAAAGTCTCCCTTCTCATGCTGTAACCTTATGTCGTTGGTGCTTGAGAGAAATTAAAAACCGAAACTCCAAGTTTTGGACAACAAGCCGACTCCACTCGTACCACTCCATCCCTTCGTTCTCCATTCCATCCCCTTCATTTGAACCCTTCACCATGGCAAAGGTTAATATTTGTTTCTTATGGTCNGTCATATATATTATGTACAAAATAGTAGTATACTTCAAAACCCCCAAATCATAGGTTTAATCAAATACCCATAACTAAAATCAAACTATGACATTTCCATTTTCAAGAGAATAAGTCATATTATATACAAGATCATAACATACTTTAAAACCCCCAAATCATTAGTTTTATCAAATACTCATAACTAAAATCAAAAATGGGTTTCAAACCCATAACACTAAAATCATTTCTATTTTCAAGAGAATAAGTCATATTTTGTACAAGATCATAATATACTTCAAAACCTCCAAAATCATAAGTTTAATCAAATACCATAACTAAAATCAAACAAGAGTTTGAAACCCACCACACTAAAATCATTTTTATGCATTTAGGTTCACAAATCCATGACATATTCAATACTATATCAAGGTTTATATCAAGAATTTTGCCATCAACCACATAGTAAACTTTAACTAAAGAAAATACATGAGATGCACAATGTAAATGCAAGAGAAAGAAAAACTCCACCTAAGAATCAAGAATTTCAAGCCAAATTCCTAGGATTTCTAAGCAAACTCCAAGCTTTATGGACACTTTTTTTCCCCTTTCTCTTTCCCTTTGTCTTCTCCTTAGGTTCTAAGAGGTTTTGGGCGAGAGTAGAATGAAAAAAATGGAAGAAAAGGGGCTGAAATCTGTATTTTAAATACAGCAGTCCCGAAATCCAGTGTTCATGGGCTGAAAATATATTTTTTTCCGAAATTACGATTTTGCCACTAATATTCTAATTTTGATCCATATACTACCCTAAGGTTTTTCGACATTCCAGATTCATTTTTAATGTTATTTTAACCTAAAAATATTTAGTTTTATGATTTATCTCAAAATTAAAATTAATTTACACCCAAAACACTAAAATTACTATTTTACCCCGTTGAACCGCTATATAAGCCAAACGGCTATTCCAAGTTTTTCGAATCTCTCGGATTCAATGGTAATGTTATTTTGATCTAAAAATATTAATATATTTACTTATTTACCCTTATCGATCTTAAACACCACAAAAAGTTAAATTTGACCCAAAAGTCAATACGTTCGTACTTCAAACTTACATGAGTATTTTGTTAACAACGATTCGAAGTTTCTCTCATCATTTTAATTATTTTAAAAATATTATCAAGTTAATATCATTTATATTTACATGAAATATGAGATCTCACAATTCTTCCCTAAGCAGAAGCCAATAAGCATTAGAATAGGATGCTATGAAATCATTTTAATCACTGAAAACATATTTCTCAAAAGGAATGTAGATTTTTCAATGACTCAACCACTGAATATCTTCACAGTGGGAGGAAAGGACATTCACATTTTTTTCCCAAAAAAGGAACAACAATTTTAGAAAGGACAATCACATTGATTAACTAAGACATGAAAAAGCTTTTTCACTGCAAATTTTTTATTCAATAGTTGGTAGATATTGCACTGCAAAATCTAGAAACTAAAAGGAGAAGGTGAGTGCTCAATGGCGTAACTAATATAACACTCAAAATTTTTGGACAGTTAGAAGGGATCATGAGATTGTCTGGACAAAGTGGCTAGTCAAATGGCAAATCTACATTAGCCCAAGGCATAATAAGTGATAAAGTTTTGGCCTTTACTGAGTAAATTTCACCTTAGTAACCATACAACATCGTGGCAACTCCAAGGCTAGGAAGATTTAACCTAATTGACCAACCCACCCTTATTGGAATTTTGTTGAAATCAATTCACTCCCTCATGTTAAGGTTCAAATAAACTTACATCCTGTTGATGGCAATGAAATTGGCAGAGAGGTTCCTATTCAAACTCTAGCAATCAATCATTCAATGTGAATATTGCATCTTTTTTACATTAGAGACTAAGAATGTCCTATAAAGTGTCCAAAATTATGAATAACACAACAATTGATGTCAGCATCCTGAAAATGAATTACACATTGTTGTCACTGCAACTCTTGCATCTTCTTGATTAAGTAGCCAACCAGAATACCTAGTAGACTGTAAGATTCCATGTTTCATATAAATATAAATTATATTAACTTGTAAGTATTTTCAAAATGATTAAAATGATGAGAGCAACTTTGAATAATTATTAAAGATATAGTCGCGTAAGTTTGAGTTACGAGCGTATTAACTTTCGGGTCAAATTTAATTTTTGATGTGTTTAAGGTTGATAAGGGTAATTAAGTAAAATTATTAATTTTTTTTATGTCAAAATAACATTACCATTGAATCTTGGAGGTCCAAAAATATTGGGATAGACGTTTATCTTATATAGGGATTCAGAGGGGTAAAATTATAATTTTAGTGTTTTAGGTGTAAATTGACTTTGATTTTGAGATAAATTATAAAACTAAATATTTTTAGATTAAAATAATATTAAAAATGAATCCCGAATGTCGAAAAACCTTAACGTAGTCATAGAGATCAAATTGGAGATGTTTATGGGCAAAATTATAATTTTAGACGAAATGTATTTTTTTGACATGAACAGTATTTTCTGATGGGAATTGCTGGGTTTAAAACCCCAAATTCAACCTATTTCTCTCATTTTTGTCACATCTCTCACCCAAAACTCATCCACCCACCTTAAAACTAGAAAGAGAAAGAGAGAAGAAGAGCTCTAGGGTTTGGCCTTGGCTTGAGAATCTTGGAGATTAAGCTTGGAATTGTTGATTCTTAAGTGGGGTTTTCATCTCTCTTATATTTACATTGTGCATCTCATGTATTTTCTTTAGCTAAAGTTTACTATGTGTTTGATGACAAAATACTTGTTATAAACCTTGATTCAATGTTGAATATATCATGGATTGTGAACTTACATGCATAAAAATAATTTTAGTGTTATGGGTTTGAAACCCTAGTTTGATTTTAGTCATGGGTATTTATTAAACTTATAATTTTAGGATTTTGAAGTATACTATGATTTTGTACATAATATATATAACTTATTATCTTGGAAATAGTTATATTGTTTTGAAAATGTAAATTTTGAGATTTGAGCTTACTACATGTTTGATAAAATGTCAAGGTTATGACATGTGTTTTAAAAGAATTTATGGATATAAAAATTAATAATTTTTAGAAAATGTAGGCTCAATACTGACAGGTAGAGGGTTAGTAGAAGGTTAGAGCCTATAGAGTGCGTTGCCAAGGCAACTACTAATCCTAATGAGGATTGATTATGGTAGTGGTTTCAGTGATGGTCTATGTGGCATGACAAGTTGTGCTCTACACGTTCGACTTAAAAAGCAAGAAGGGCGATGAGACCCTATGGTACAAGATCCAAAAGATTTTTCGGGGATGGTTCATGCGTGAACCAGTGGTGTAATTGATTATATTGTCCGTATGCGAGACATGCATGGTATTTGCTATGATGGTTTGACTTTAAATATATAAATCTTTAATTTATACCTTGTACATTTCTAATGATGAGGTGTTGGGAGACTTTTTATGAATGTTTTACTTATTATTTTGTTCTTATACTTAATTATAAAAAGCTTTTCATTGCTTATTCTTATGGCTTGTGGAATGTTGGTATTTAAAACTTTGTAAATGCTTGGAAAAAGGATTATCCTACTGAGTTGTGGTTGCTCATCCCTTACTAATATTTTCAGAAACTAGCATGCATCCTTGGGCATAGGTGATGGAATGCTTGTGGGAGTTTAAACTAGAAAAAATATCTTTTGAAGCCTTTTTGTATTTACCTTTAGAACTTATGTAAAAATGTTAGCACGCAAAAATTGTGTTTGAAAAGGTTGTCTTGAGGTATTTATGGTGTACACTAGATCACCCCATAGAGGGATTATTGTTGACTTTGTATACTAAGTTGTGGTATATATTAGTATTGGATGTATATGGGTTTGGGAGGACTTTGTGGGCCTCTTATTGCCACTCCAGATTTAGTTGGATTATATTTTTGATGGAGGAATGTTGTGGATGCTTAATTAGTTT